CATACACATACACATACACATACACATTAAATATACATAATGCTGCATTTTCGCCGGCTGTTCTTGTTGCGGCCCAGTTGTACTAGGAAGCGGGATTTTCCCACTTACAAGTTGTAAATTTAAACTGGAACAGCCACTCCAGAGGGAATTCCCTGTTGGAAAGTGGGAGAGTTCAGAATTGAAGATGGCAGKTACTCACCACAACTCAACTCTCTTGCTTTAGACTTTTAATTSTATTTCTGTATTATTTATTTCACATTTAGTCAGTCATACACTTTTCACTGTTCATAAGAGGACATGTTAAAATGCTGTTTCTATGCAGGAAATACCACMTAGAGCTCAGTCGTTTGTTGGTAGAGCTCAGCTGTAGCAAAGAGATAAGYAGCGTGGTGTTTTGTGTTTAGTTGATAAACACGAAACATCAAAGTTAATTACAGCTCTGGACCACCATAACGCTRATGTGGCCCTCAGTGAAAATGAGTTTGACACCGCTGGTTTAGAGGATTTGGAGAATTAAAACTTTAAAATCCGGGTCATACTTTCTGAGATTGTTCTGTCACAGGAGATAACATTATTATCACACYTTTTTAAAAAATTATTATTATCTAATTATTTCTGCCTAATGTCAAGGTAAAGCCTCACATATGAGCACTGTATCAGATTAAGAGTAGTTAACTGCAGCTTTCCTCTTTTCAGTCTGCATTAGTTCCACCTTTGGTGTAATAAGGTGATCCTGTGGATGGAGCTCAGCTGCTGAATATAAATGAGCTTTTCTTTAAAAAAAAAACTTAATCTTTGTTTATTCTCTGGCCTTTATTTAAAACTGGAAACAAGTTGGTGTAACTGTGGCAACACAAGGAGCCCAGGYATGAAATCAAATATGTTGTGGGGAAAACACACTTAACGACTTGTGTCACATGTCAGCCAGCACACGGATGTATGTTCCCCATCTCAGTAACTTACACTGATCCTGAAGTTTGCTTTTATCTTAAACTGAACTTTTTTTAAGAAGAAAAAAAAACACAATCTGAGCAAAACAGTGAGGTTGTGCTTTTAGATAACTTTCCTCTGTCTCTAATTAAAAACAAGTTAAAACAGAAGAAATCGACAACAGACATTTAATGTAAAGTTTACAATAAAACTTTTAAGATATAAACTAAACTTTAAGTGCTAATGTTGCTGGAAAAACAACAACACCAACGCTCACATAGTTATTTTTTACCTCATAGTGTCATGGAAATCACTGCTCTCCCTGTTTTATTGAGACCAAAATAATCCTACCTGATTTTAGATYATGGACCTCAGAGCGTCTTTGCAGATCCCGCTGACCCCTCGGTCACTGTGTTGCTGGTGCTGAAGGTGAACCGAATACAGTGTGAAGTTTTCAGCTGACGCTCAGAGCCAAGAGCCTCCCACACAAGAGCGTCTGAGCGTCTGTCCTCTTTTGGCTCCACAGGCAGCACGTCCCCCTCACACAACAAGCTGCAGGGAGTAACTTGTCTGCCCCCATCTGGTTTTCTATTCACACAGGTTCTTGTTGAATCAAGCCCCAACAAAAGGAGTTATCAAAATATATTAAAATTTTATTATTAAGACAACAATATAAAGAAGACAAATGATACAGATGTTATTCAGTAAACTTGTTCACAGAGAAATGTCCTTGTTTCATGTTAAACTGAATGCCCCGGGGGACATAATAATCCTTTGTTGGTGTGGGATGGCGCTGAACCAAAGCCGGGGAGTAAATATTCTCTCCAGAAGCTTGAACGCTACTTTTTACCTCAAGTACAGCAACGTCTCTCAGCAGTGACCTCGGACAGTAAAAAAGCATCTTCACACTGTTGATCATGCCTGGTAATCAACATCCTAAAATGAATGAAATAAAAGAAACATTTTAAATTTGAAATTTTGTAAAACCACAACATTTAAGAGCACAGTTTGCATTTGAGATATCTGGTTTTGGTGCAATGTAACAAAAAAACTGCCCTCGTTGCAACATTTTAACCAGATTTGTATCAAAATAAGTGAATTTGTTTTCAATTACGACTTACTACTAATTCAGAGCAATTTGGGTTATTACCAGCTGATCTAAGAACAAGTTAAATGTATTTTATTTAGCCAGAGTGTTATTGGAAGCATTAATATCTGAGAAATAAAGCTGTTTCCAGAGATGTCAGGTAACAAAGTACAAATATTCATTACATTACTTAAGCAAAATTGTGGTTATTTTGGTTACTTCTGCTCCTTATATTTTCATGCAATTATCTGTACTTTCTACTCCTTAGATGCAAAAAAGAGTCTCATTAGCCCTATTATATTTCAACTTGTTGCTAAAAAATGTACCAAATAAACCTGTCCAGATACAACTCCCAGATAGAGTGAATTTAATTGAAGTTGAATGAGAAGTATAAATATACACTATTCTAATACCTTATTAGTTTGTTAGCGATCCATCTCAACTGTATGACACAAATCATGTCACGCTCAGCAGGACATATCAGACGTATGTAGCCTGAAGATGATTGTTGCAGAGATACGTATATAGGCAGCTGAAACAGGTAGCCTAGTGCAACCCAAATTTATCACTAATATTTTAATATAATATTATAGTCATTATATCGGTTTTACCTCAGGCTGTTGCATATTTTGGTTGCTCTTAATTCTATAAAACTGTATTGTTTTTCAGATGGCAGGAGGTTAAACAGCTTGTGTGCTGGAAGAAATGGATCTCTAACAACACTGAGGGCCTTTTTCTTGCAGCTGTTCAGGACACTCCCCATATGTGCCTCAGTAAAATATGGTGAAGATGAAGGAGTTGGTGGGGGATTTCTAAAAAAAAAAAACAACAAATCAGCTCTTTCATTTTAAGGACCTTTAGAAACATTTTGTTTCCAAACCATCTCACTGGCTGTTCCCCCTGCTGCTCTGTACGATGCTTCATCATCCCAACACTCATGATGTTACATCATCAGCAAACTTATTTAGTTGACTTGCGCTGAATTTAGAAGCACAGTCATATCTGGAGAGTAAAATACAGAGGACCGAGTACACATCCCTGAATTGCATCTGTGCTAAGTATGATGGCCTGTGACACCTTTCTGACAAGAAGGCTAAAATTCAAGAAATATTTTAAGCAAAATGGGTTTGTTCCACAAAGTATCACAAAAATATCAAACCACTGTTGAGGCTTTTTATTGTCAATGTGAATTTATTTGAAGAGTCTTAAACTCAGAATTGGTGTTGCGTTTCTCATGAAAGAATAAAACCAACTTAATACTGAGTGAGAGGCTCTCTGGTTGAATTTATTGAAGTGAAAAACCAAATTCTGTGAATAGGATCATGTAGGATCTGGACAATCAGTAAAAATAAAAGTCCTACCCGGCCAGGTGCTCTATCAGATTTTCCATGTTCTCTCCTGTCTTGGCACTACACTCATAAAACAAAGCCTGGTATTGCTGTACAAGCCAACAAGAAAAATGTATTATTTATTATTATTATTTTTGTTTATTGGCTTTGAGTGAATCACTGCAGAAAATTTTTTGAATATGCAAATGAACTTCACCTCCGCCAGATTCTGACCCTCTGCTGTCGTCACTTTCCGGCTGTGATTGGCTAGGTCCAGCTTATTCCCAACCAGCATCAGCACAGTCCCTTCACACATCTTCTCCTAGGACAGACACACAGCAGTTTATAGTACACACGTTTTACTGTAGACACAGCAACAGAGACACATACTATTATGATGTCTGCCATTTGTGTGTAAAAAAAATTGAATAAATAAATCTGATTTTTACTTTAAAATTAAATCCTTATGTGTTTAGTGGGATGTCTACTGTGAATTTTCCTGTCATCTGCTTGTTTATTCAAATCCCCAGTTTTGCATGATACCTTGACAGAGTCCATCCATCCTCTCACTGCAGTGAATGAGGCAGAGTGAGTGATGTCATACACAGCGAGGACACCGTCAGCCTTTCGGTAGTACTGCTCAGTGATACTGCGATATCTATAACAGCATTTCATATATTCACCATGAAAAGTGTATTTGAGCTTTATGGGGAAAAAAAAACAACAAAGAGATTTCTGAGCTTAAAGTCTGACCTCTCCTGCCCTGCAGTGTCCCAGAGCTGCAACGTGACAGTGGTGGAGTTCAAAATTAAAGTCTTCATTTGAAAATCTACACCTAAAATACAAAAATTGCATTCAGTTTATATTTTGCTTCATAAAGTACTCTCCAAAAGGACAAATAGACTTATTCAATGCTCTTATTTTTTCAGCACAGCTTTGCAGTCATTAGTTTCACATAGCATGTAGTTTTGTTCAGAACTGAACAGTTCTGAAGCAAAGAATGCAAATGAAGTCTTCAGTCCAAGCTTTTTATAGGCATTTTGAAGACAGTTCCACAGTAGTTTTGGATTTAATGATCACATGGATCTGATCTTGTAAACTAATCCCAAAACCTGGAGTTAGGTGGTTCAGTGAAGGTATACAAAGTCCATCAATCTGGCATATACCTCCAGTTGTCATAGGGCAAGGGGTGGGGTGCACTCTGGATAGGCCACCAGTCCAACACACAGTCTACTCACTTGTTTCTCATTAAATAATATATACTGCCTTCCAAGTGTTAGAAGGCTAAGATGCAGCTATTTCTGCTTGTAGAAATATTCCTGAAGGCCTCGACTACAAAAGTCAAGTGAGTTTTAGTCACTGATGTCAAGTAGCAGAAAATTTGTGAGACTGGGTAAATATAACAGTCTTAACACTGACATTTCCTGTCCTTGATTCACATGTTAAAGTTTGCTGATGATTCTGTCATCCTGTCAGCAGTGGGCCAGTGATCAGGGACTTCTGAATTTAGTGAGTCTTACTTTTTAAAGTTGAATGTCTCAAAGACAAAGGAGAAGGTCATTGATTTTAGAAGAGACTCTTCAGTTGCCACTCCTGTGGGTATTAATGGTGAAGCTGCTGAGATAGCGCATGGATATAATATATATCTGGGAACTGTTTTTGATGACAAACTGACTTTTGACATGCTTGTAAGAAGGCCCATCAGAGAATGTACTTTTATCTGAAGTTTTGTGGTTTTAATGTGGATTCTATTGTAAGAGAATGTTTTATTCATGTTTTATTGAGTCTCTTTTAACTTTTAGCTTAATCTGCTTGTTTGGAATGTGTGAGGACAGAAATAAACTCTTGGGGATTGTCAGGATGTGCAGCAGAATTGCCCTACCAGACCTCACTGCTCTACACAAGGTGAGGTCAGTGAAAAAGGCCAGACTGATCCTGGCAGACCATGATCTACTCCTAATCTTGACACAGGTATCTGTTGCCCAGATGTAGGCCTAATAGGCTGCAGTAATCAGACTTCTCAAAAAACACTGATTTTTTTATTTATTTAATGGTTTTCATGTCTTGTGTAGTGTGAATGTTTTGATGTCTACAGACATCAAACTTTGTGGGGCGGTTCAGAATGTAAACAAATAAGCTGAGATCCTTTTGAACCGTGCCACTCCGTGATCAGAGTTCTGGGACGGTGAAAACTGCTGTTTAATCTTTAAATCAGGTGGATGTGATCTTTTAAAGTCTGAGCACATCTGTCCAGAACTAATTGCCAAATTCTAATTCCACATGCAGTGATGAGGATGTCCAGGCTTGTGTCGTCTGATAATAAGGAGAAGCTTACCAACAGTAGAACTCATGTTCCTGTAGAAGTGTCCCGTGCAGCAGTGCCGGATGAAGGAGCTCTTACCCACCCCTGAGTTACCCAGAAATACCACCTTAAACACTTGCTGACGACTCACAGCTTTGCCCTAAAATTAAAATAAAAGTGGACCAAACTCAGCTTTTTTTTTTTTTTTTGCTTCATCTGACATTTCAGTGTTTATTTTACGTCTGTGTTTTTTGTTTAGACTCAACTTTGCCCTTTCTTTACCTGAGTGTGTACCTGCTCAACACTTTCATCTACACCTGACGGGTGGAGGGTCTTGGAGGCAACTGTAACCTCTGTCTGATTGGTCAGCTCCAACTCATCTGCACAGCCTGGCTGTCTTTAGAAGCGACAAATATATACATTTAAAAAAATGGGTTATTTTACGTCTCCTTACTGCAAAAATGACAAAAGTGTTCAATTAATGGTACAAACCTTTCCACTGGCTCATCCTGCTGAAAGTAGCTACCTATGATTGAGCCTTTCTTCTGCAAAGTCTTTGTGACTTCTGAGTTCTGAAGTGTTAAGTGGAGAGTGAGGTAAAAGAAACAAGTACAGTTAAAATATTATAATAAGTAAAATAAGGAGTATTTTAAACAAAGCTGCACTATGGTGCAAATTTAAATCAGTATTGTAGTTTCTGGTTAGTGCACATTTAACACACAAAATACAAGTCTTCATGTGACTTTTATTCTATTGCAGCATCAAAGTGTCTTCAGCAATAAACTTATTTCTTCAAAAGATGAAAAAAACAATAAATACACAATAGATGTTATGTTACAGGGGAAATGAATGTGTAACTTTGTCAAATTTACAGAAAGAAAGTGAGAGTTTAAAATACAAAATATCTACAGTGAGCATCTTTGGCAAAAATACAKTTTATTTTCTCTCCGAGTATAGATGAGATTCAGGAAATCCTACAGAACTTAACAGAAAAGCTGGTTTAATTCACCTATAAAAAGTGTGACCAATAAACAATTTTCTTTTTTTTTTCTTCCTTTAAGTTGACGCAGCACACAATAAATGTCTGTTCAGCACAATCCACAACTTCACAGACATTTGAAGAGAAAAAACAACAACACAGCAACCTTAGAAATAATTAACCAAATAACAGCTGCCCGTGATATTAATCAACGTCCAGAGGAAGGAGGAAAGCCTGACGTTTAGTTTATGTTGGGTAGAGCTGCTGCGTCCAGGACGTGCGGGGCTCTTCGTAACAGTAACAKGGTGACGGCGGAGGGGAAAGGACAGTGTGTCTGTGACTAACCCTCTGATGTGCTTGTTGGACGTCTCTCTCGTCCCGCATCTTTCTGTTCATGTCCCTGACACAACAAGASAAATGAGTTTAGACACGACCTCAGAGAAACTCACTATATTATAAAGAAATAATAATTTGGTATGTCCGTGTGGTCATTTAGAAAAAAAAAAAGTTCCTATCCTCAAATTAGACCTGAAACCTCAAACATTCAGTGTTGAATCAGCTGATTGTGAAACAATGTGTGGCTTAAACGTGCAATTCGATGGTGAACAATAAAMAAGATGGCTGCCACAGCTAATTACCAATAATAATTTGTTTTAGAAACGAGTTTAGCTATTTTTTTGTTGGTTTTTGTCGGATAACTCGAACGATTTGTCGATTTTCTATGACAGAAAACCTTGTATCGAGGTGCTTCTTTTGGAGAGAAAAATAAAGTTTATTGTAACCATTTTATTTTTAAACACAATCAGAATTTGCAGGGGAAATGTATGCTATTAACAACAATTTGTTGCGTTTGAGTGTGTTTCTGTGTGTTGAGACAAGAGACACCTTCTTTCATTTAAAATCTGTCATAAAATGTATCAGTAGAATAACTCGTTGAAAACAAAGCAGTTTCAACATACCTTAATATCTCCAGTTGTCTCATGAGACTCTCCTTCTCTTTCTTGATATTTCTTGACACCACCATCACATTCCTACAATAAGTCAATAAAAACAAAGTTGTTATTCTCTGCAGTGTGTCCCTGGATAACATGAATGTGTTAAAACTTAGGTTGAAATTTTTAAACCAGGTGCAATGTTCTTCTCTTTCAATTAAAACAAGACAAAATTCAAGTCTTGCATTCCTTAAAGAAGTTCATACAACCTGTCACCTTTCACACCACAGTTTTAGACTGAAATTATTTTGTAATGAGATATCGGAATTGCAGCCATTTTGGTCAAACTTTGAAACAATWTTCAATTTGATGCAATATCACAAKACGTCACACTTGACTCTCAGCTACAGCTACATAAAACTTTGAGTCAGTATCTGTAAAACTGACTGACCTATAGCCATTTTATGCTGGGTATTGTTGATTAGCTGTGGTGACCATCTTGAATTAGATTGARYCCCAAAKGTTATTCAGCTGTTGATGRACATCTAATAATGATTTKCTGAAAATTTCATTAAAAATCAGAGAGTGGTTCATGATATATTTTGCTAACAYACAGAGATGACTTCAAATAGGTAATGGCTGAAATTTAAACAAGCATCTTGTTCAAATTGTTGGTGCTCAGAATGTGRGTGGGTGATCAGCCATAGACACCACCACATCAAATTTTAGGTCAGTATCTTTAAAACTGACTGAAATGTAGCCATTATTGTCCTTTTTGATATCAGTTGGCRGTGGCGGCCAWTTTTAATTMGGTCYGCTCTCAAAGTTAATCAGTTGCAGATGTGCATCCAARAAATACTCTCTGCAAGTGTCATTAAAATACTTCCAGTAGTTTATGATATATTTTGCTAACAGTCAGACACACATAGGCATGAACACATACAAGTGCAAAAACATCACCCGTCTGTCGCCATCAGTGGCTTACTTTTGTCGTGTTGCTTGTTCGTGAGCGGCGCTGATCTGCAGCGTGCTGAGCTGCCTCAGGGCCGACCTCAGCTGCTCTCTGCTGCTCTCCACCTGCTCCTGGAGCTGCATGTTGAGCCTCTGCAGCTGCTGGTTCTGCTCCTTGATGCCCACCTGCTCGCTGCTCAGCTGTCGGATTTTGATCTCAAGCTGGATGTACA